CCCCAAAACCCCAAAACCCCAAAACCCCAAAACCCCAAAGCGTGATGTAATGGTCAAGATTTCATGAATTAGAACTTTAATATTCTAAAAATAAGTGATTGATCTGGAACTCCTTCTGGGGTACTGATTTTCTGCGAGACCTTGATGAGTCTCTAATGACCTCCTCACCGTTCTGGTCAACGGAAAGAGTTCTCTTGTGGATACTCCACAACTCGTTCATGCTGATTGTTTGGGATAATTTGTGGGTCTCTGAGAGAGACTGTGGCAAAGAACCTTCTAAGTAGAAATAAAGCTCAAAAATTACTTTTAGAATTAGTGGTTGGAGAAATGAAATTCATGTTGTCGTCCTGGAAAGCTTGAATTCCAATCATTGTTTTCAACACTTCAGTTCTGAACTTAAGTACCTCAGCAATGGTACTTTTTACCTGGTCCTTAAGCCCTTTTAAGTGCTTCATAGTAGTATTATTCATATTTTTGAGAATCTTAGAAGCATAAGTTTTGTATTCTGATGATTCTATATTAAAATTATAAGCATTACGTAATGGTCTAAAGATATTCTAGTAGCTTTTGGGAAGGAAACCACTTACCTCCTTGGTCTTTCTCACTCCTCTTAACCCTTTTATTCAAATTAGTATCACAGTATTTGAACAGAATCTTGAATTCTTCCGGATGAATATTCTCAACTATAGTGTTGAAGGCTGAGTTGATGGTCTTGACCCTCTCAGTACCAAAAGGTTGGTACAGTTCAGCAATTTCCCTTTCTTTTGCACAGAACTCTTTGTTCTTAGACAAATTCTGTAGTAAGTGGTCACAGTCTTCAAGAAGATCAACCTTATATTTCTGGTTGGCTTCCCCCACAGGCACAGCAGTAGTGGACTCTTTAGCAAAGAGGGCTGCTTTCAGGTCTTCAATAAGCTTGTCCTTTCTCTCAAGTTCTTCTTGGAGTTCATTGTACTTACCCTCGAGCTCTTCGTAGAACTTCTTCTTTTTAAGTCTGGACTTCCTAGCTCTTGCATTATTGAGATCTTTCTTTCTGCGTTCCTTTGCTTTAGTTTTCTCATCTCTTTTCCTTTGCTCTCTACAGTTGAATTTGAGAAATTATGGAGACAAATGAGGGCATCAGGTTGAGCTTACTCTAGAGCTTGCTTTTGGATTGAAGTTTTAGAAGCCATTGGTTGAGTGATAGGAGCGCCCTTGTCCATATCCATCCCTATCCAATTGTACAAGTTATCAGCCTTGCTCATGTTTGGAATCGGGAGAGGATCCTCGCTCTTAAGAGCCATAAGACTCATATCTGGAAGTCCTTTTCCAAAACCTATATATTAGTGTAAGAAGCAAATTTGATTAATTTATGGAGATAAGTTGCCTACTCGGAAGTCTATTTGGCTTCATCATTCCTAGATTTCCATCTTTTCCCTCCTCATATTGACCAAAGTTCTTTGAAAGACTGGCCACATTGTTAAGATTAAGCTCGTTAGACTAAAAGTTAGATTAAATATCATCCACCAAGGAAATAAGTTCTCAGCTAAAAGATTGTCAAAAATTTGCACAAACACGAAAAGAGGTAATATCTTACATAATTCCTAATATTCTGAAGATATTTGAATGTTCAAGAAGACATGCTCTCGTTATCCTCCATTCTTAGATATTTATTTCAATCTTTTTGAATTTAAATGGGGTTTTGGGGTTTTGGGGTTTTGGGG